TTTCTTACACTTTTGATCTTAATGAAAATACAATAGTGCAACACTACGTTTCAAGTCATGGGTACTGGCAAAGTTTCATATTTTTTCATTAGGTAGTTTCTGAGAATATACTGTTCGCAAAATTTGGCCTTAGCTCCATTAGTAGTAAGATTATTATTATTATTATTATGAAATAAGTCCATGGGGGTAAAAAAATACAAACAAACAATCCTGTAGAAAAAAAATAAACGAAGTACTTCCACCACAGCCGAATAGGAAAGAACTCAATAATCTATGTTCTGTCATCTACTTTCATATGCACTGTCCCAGTCACCTAGTTATAAGGTTATTATAAGTGCCGAAGTATAGTTGTGTTCCAAGAGAGTCACATACACAGAAAAGAAGGAGGAGAGATAAGGACGATAGGTATTTGATAGGAAAGAAGGAGCAAACCACACCAGAGCACCCACCAGCCACCTACTTTCTCAACAGTATACTATTTTGTTTGCCCTTAACCTTTTTCTAATCCCTTTTCAAACTACAAGCAGCAACCAGACGCCATTTCCCGACCACCGCCATCACCACATCCGCCACCAACCACCCGTACAACCTCCGCACGAGTGGCGCGTCCTTTAAAAGAAGCCACAAAGTCGGCAGACCTTTTAGGTATTGTGACCGAGAGCGACAAAACCAGATACAATTAGCAGAGGGCTGCGCACTGCTGCGCAACGATATGCAGCACTATGAGACGGCTGCTGCTGCTGCGCTGAAGCTCCTCCCTACCGCGGTGTCGTCATTGGCTACGAAAGGTAAAGGGGAGGAAGTCGTGACGTCAGGCGAGAAAGAGAGTTCCAGCGAGCAGAAACGTACGGTGCATTACGTGAACCTGTATATTTGCCCTCCTCCCCGACGTAAGTTGTTTTTTGTTTTTGTTTTTTGGTTGTTGTTTGTTTGTTTTTTATTCTATTTTTGCGTTTGTGCTTATGTGTGTGTTTGTGTGCGTGCGTGCGTATGTGTGTGTGTGTGTGTGTGTGTGTGTGTGTGTGTGTGTGTGTGTGTGTGTGTGTGTGTGTGTTTAAGTTTTAGTAAGAGTTTTACGAATCTCGCAAAGCAAACAGTTCAAGTGCGTGCCGAAGATTAGAGGTGTTCATAGAGAGTAACACACACACGAAAAAGGAGGAAAAATAAAGACGATACATGTTTGATAGGAAAGATGGAAGAGAGGAGGAGAGATAAGGACGATATATATTTGAAAGGAAAGAAAGAAAAGAGATAAGGATAATAGATGTTTGATAGGAAAGAAGGAGGAGAGATGAAGAAGATTGATGTTTGATAGGAAAGAAGGAAGTTTGGTAGGAAATAATTTTTAATTTTTCCCGGGTGGCGGCCAAAGCCTACTTTTATCAATTTTGGACCATCAAGAGATCTTTATCATGCACAATTTACATACGGGGCCTCAGAGATGTTTGGCCCTTTTCCGAGAAGGCTATGTGTTAGATCTTACCTAATCTAAGATCAGCTATGGGTGTGGCTGAAAGACAGCAGTTAGAAGGAGCCAAGGAGTAGCAGTAGAAGGTAGCAGAAAGAATCAAGAGCCCAGAAGAAGAGGGGGGGGGGACAAAAAGTGGAGACGAAAGCAGACGACAGAACATGGTTAGAGAGCAGAAAAGAGGGGAGAGGAGAACACTTTGGAGAAAGAAATTTTCCGTCGCCTTCAAGTTTCGAACCTGGGACGTATTGAATGACAAAGGAACTTCGTAACTTCTAGACCACTTGAGCACTCCAGAATCTTTTTGTAAATCCAAACCCTTAGGAATAGAATGAAAGACAGAAACGTGTTTAAGCTTATAGGAGGGAATGCATGTACGCACGCGCGTGTATGCGTGCGTGTGAGTGTGTCTGTGTGTGTATGTGTGCGTGCGCACGTGCGCACGTGCGTGTGTGTGTGTGTGTGTGTGTGTGTGTTTGTGAGTGTGTGTGTGTGTGTGTGTGTGTGTG